CATTATTATAAGACGCTTCCATGGCATATGTTTCAGATACGTATTCGATAGAGTGAGATTTCACTTATGTTTCGCTTCTACCCCGGAATTGTCTAAACAACTGCGTTAGGTGGCTTTCTGTTACGAGTAGAAGATATTGAAGCGTGCCAGCTGCGCAAACAAAGTCGGAATTTCCGCTACAGAAATATGGGCAAATTTCAGCTCTAGTTTATATTTGCAGAAGACGACGCAATCCAAAAAACAAGTACGCATATGAAACCCAATATTTTTCTATAATTGACGCTTATATCATCTGCTAGGATCAGTCTAACAGCCTATACTGAAAGGGCGCTTGCCTTTTGTTGTTGACCTATAAACGTAGCGGCACAACTTCAAGTCGCTTTCGAGTGATAAAAAAAGGGTTTACGCTAAAGCAGTGTTGCCAGGCTTAATAAAAAATGGTATAGCAGCTATATATAGCTAATAAAAGGGCTAATTTCATTATTCATCGATTTAAGCTTTTTTATTTACTTTGGAACGGATTTCTAAAATTTTATTAGTTCAGGTCCATAGGCACACACAATTTTCATTCTAAACAAATATTCTGAGCTTAAAACTCGTAATAGGAAAACATAAACAATAGATACATTACGAATTCATTAACTACACTAGTTAACACAAAGAAAGGACTTCGCTAAAAAGTGTTCTTCTAGACTTATTTAGGGGCGCTAAGCATGAAAATAAGTCTAATTTTTATACTTTCCCAAAAAAGCGTTTTCGAACTATAAAAAAAAAAAATACCAGAAAAGCGAATGCAACTAATCTTCTTTGGATAACTTTCGAGATATATATTAAGCCTCATTGCGCTGATTTATTTATTTTTGTCAATCGGAATAGTACTTTTAGAGTTTCAGGCCTTTAAATTCGAAAGATAAGGAATTTTTCGAAAATTGTTAATTTTTTTTTATTCCTTCCAGTTGATAAACTTGGTAAAATTAATTTTTTATGTTAGGAAGAAGGACAAAACGGACCAAAAAAGCACCAAAATGGCAACACTGCCCTAAAGGGCTCGACATCATTCAATGGGATTTTTTCTCATTTCACCAGCTATCTACTCTGCGACACACTGAGTGGCTGTAATGCATACAAGTTTAAAAATTAATTCTGTCATGCCATGCATTATCACACTGCAATTCTCGTAAATTTTTTCCATTGCGGCTGATTTTATGTCCTTCAACAATATATTGTTTTGGATCATAAAATATTCGCGTTTTTGTCAGTCGTAAATAAGAAATTCATCAGCAATAAAATTGCTTTTACGCGCAAACTCACTTGTGCTACAACCACTAAACAGCTGAAGCCTGCATTCCAGACGCTATTTGTTTACCTTTATTGCATCATCAACTGCATTGATGTTTCGCAAGAATACATACTTATGCATTCGCGGTTAAGCGATTTTAAGAGACGATAACATTTTTTATGCTCATAAAATCAACAGCCGCGGCAAGTAAAAATTGTTGCATATAATTTTAACATCCGTTTGCAAGCATACGAGAAGTCGGCTATAAGACCAACGTATGAAGCTGGAATGAAGCTAGGATGGCAATACCAAGTATTTATGTGGCAAGAGAATAAAAAAAAATACATTTTGTTGCTCTAACAACAATTCCGAATAAACTCGTTGTAGACCCAAACATTTCTACAACGGTGGGTTTTATTTTTTGGGCTTTCTAAAAGACAATAGATCTCCATAAGTCCTTCTTATTTTGGTCTTTTCCTTGTGCTTATTTTTACTCCGAGGAACCGGAAATGAACCATTGTCGACCTGAAAGTTACAGTCCATTATTACTTCGATTTATTTTTTTTGGTGGTCATAGGTCTCTAGGTTCTCTCATATCCATTTGATGTAGTTCATGTATTTCCGTACTAATTAGCAGTCAAATCATGGCAAGGTTAGGTTAGATTAGCTTATCTTGGAAGGGACGCTTAGGCCACCATGTGATGCCATATTAGAGACTCCTGGTCTCCCTCCTTTTACTTTAGAAGCTAAACCAACTGGATCGAGTTCAGTCAAAAAATCAAAAGAACGAGTGCCGACAAGCCCTCGCCAATGTGGCATAGTGGCATAGGTAATGCTCTACGCGTTCGATTCCCTACATATCACGTATAACTCCAATTACATGGTCGCTCCAAACGGGGAAGAGAGCGAGATCTACGTTTATCCATCCAAGGCTCGATATGTCTTTCTATTCTACTTGTGGGATCCGCAAAACATCATGTATTTGTTTGTGCTATGAAGTTATTCTCCAGCCAAAGTTTGCAGAAAGATAGCGGAATGCCTGCATTACAAGTGGTACTCATTCCAGACAGTAAGGCTAACTATTTGCCAATTCATTCAGAGTACGTATACGTTCCACCACAATTTTGTATTAGGATTTGCGACAATTTAGAGCTTTAATAGCTGCGTGACTATCAGAAAAGATAGAAACCCAGAAGTTGCCGTATGCCTACCTCGGATATGTCGGTTAGGTCTTCAAAGAATCCTGAACTCATAAATCTTCTACAAAGTGTGGGGCATGCGCATAACAGATGCCGCAAGGTTTCTGGCTCATCTTCATTTCTGCAGCTTCTGCAGAAGTCGTTATGGGGGACCCCTAACCTCTCCGAGTGCCTTCCAATAGCAACATGGCCTGTTAGAAGACCCACAGCTGCGGCTAGGTCCCCTCTGCTCAGCATGAGGAGATCCCTCGACAGCTTGTTGTCCCATTTTGGCCATGTAAGCTTCGTATTGTTGCAAGTGGTGCGGCTATCCCACCTGCCCTAGCTAGTTTGAGAGATATATCCCTTAGAATTAGCTTGCAAGTAGCGAGCGGCATTCCTAATCGCTTCCAGGCCTGTGAAGGTGGAGCGGATGTGCCCTCTCTTGGAAGTTCGTCTGCCTTTTCATTGCCTGGTATGTTCCGGTGCCCCGGAACCCATACCAAGTGAAGCGCCAGCCATCTCTTTTAGAGATCTGCGACAGTTCGCTACGGTTTTGAACACCGCGCGAAAAGATTTTTCCAGCCCCAGCCGGTGGTTCCCTCAGCCTCAAGGCGGCACACCTCCCTGATTTTTTCCAACAGTTTCAATCGGCAAAATGTTGAGCAGCACGCATATGCCCGATAGATACAGAGCATTGCAGTTCTTTGCATCTTTTGGAGTGCTTCAGTTGTAGATTTCCTGTTGAGACTTGGCAACCATACTAAGATCCTATACCATAGAATAGAATAGGCCTAACAACCACCGGTTCTTAAATGGACGAAATGAAAAAAAAGATTTTATGTATTGACAGTCATGCAGGAATTAAGGCTCTACTTTCTTACGAATACTAGCTATTCGAGCAGTATTAGGGATTATAACAGGCCAATAGAAATGTTAGCCATGACAAAAATCATCCAGGCTCCCGGATACAAACATCTTGAAGGAAATTAAAGAGCTGACACGTGGGTCATTCTAGATGTCACACTAGCGATAGATGTCAAATTCCTCTAAAGGAAAGGGCCAGAGTGTAAACTACAGTCCGCTAAAGAGACAGCAATGTTCTTACATCCCGATCGAAAAGCGGCACAGCAAATCATCCGTTAGTGGTTTGGTTAGTTTACTCTCTCTTTCCTTGAAGACTCCTTTGATTTGAATCTTGTGGAACTCTAAGTGCAAATGCTTTAAGTGTTTTTTATATATACTAGATTTTCGTTGACACCCTCGCCAGAGAAATATTTGTTGCTACCCAGGGGAAACTGATCCCAAGCCCAAAGTTGCCCTCTTCTTATGTAATCGTTTATGTAAACACTCCTAGATTAGCGAATGCCTCTACATACGTAAACAAAGTGAAACGATTGAAATGTTTTGACCAACTCAGGTCGGATTAGACTGATAGGCTTTACAGAGTTCATTTCTAACTTGTAGAAATCCAATCCGTAAGGAGTCCCTGTATTCAATGGCTAAGTGCAGCTTTTGTGTAACTTTCTATTCGCAAAATGTAGCCAAAAGAGCACAACATTTTGCGTATGGAAAGGGCTCACCCGCTGTTAATAGGCGCGTTCGTCTTTGCGACAGCAGGGAACTCGAAGACAGACAGTTTAAAATAAGTAAATTTCACTTATGTATGTAGGTCTCTGAATTCTTGAGACCCGTTTAATGCACCTTCAAGTGAAAAAATTGTGTGCCTAAAAGTATGCTAAAGTATTTTGTTGCCATATCAATGCCACGCTGTGTTCATATTTAAAATTCTCAAACGACTAATGAAAAGATTTTTTGAAAGGCGTTTTAGGATATTCCACTCCTAATGCTGCTCCTCCTCTGATGAGCCCTCGCTAAATAGTAGCTGCATAAACTTTTTAAATTCAAATTCATACAAATTTGAAATGTTCCAACACGTTAAATTCATTTGCTTGTGCATTATTTTTAGCTTTACAAGTTTTGACTGGCACTTTTGGTATGCCAAATACGTTTGAAATTTCCCTAAATGCTCATTTTCCAAGCAAGTGAACACGTTTAGCGCACTGTTAGGACGTTCGACTCCACTTGCAGTATGAAAGGCGGGGATAAGCCTGCAATGTACGACGCTAAACTGCGAGTAATATGCAATTTCATATATTTTTGTCCTCCTCGGCATTATTGCTTTACGCTGCTAAGTGAGTGTGTGTCTCTGTGCCCTCTGTAATGCTGCTGTGATTATGGTGTGGTCTCAGTATTGGCAGGCATAACAAGTACGTAGTTGGGCAAGTTTTACTACATACATACATATGTCAAGATAATAATAATATACTTACGCAAGTACACACTTGCTTTGCCACAACAAAAGCTTCAAGATGATTGTACGGGGCGTATGAGTGACTTTTTAAGTACACAGCTGTTGGAGTGCACTCGTTTGAGTAGATTTGTTTTTAGTTTTTTTTTTTTTGTGTTATGTATGGATGTGTTACGGTTGCTGCAACTTTAAAGCAAAGTCTAATTTGTTTTTGGTTTTCATTTCGCAGATGATCAAGACTTTAAAAGCTTAATAAATGCGGAGGCGAGCGGTTTGATATAAATACATATTTATATATGTATGGATAAAAATTTGCTGCGTACCTGCACACATAGATGAATGCTAAAGAAGGATAGTTCGTAAAAGTGGGTAAGTGTTTATAAAAATTATTTCTTGTATATAAAAAGTGATGTGCATCGTTTTAAAGGGGTCAAACGTTTACTGTGTTGTTTTTGTTCGAAAGCTTTAATGGCGGGAATAGAACAATATATTTTTGACCTTAATTTTCGAAGGTATATGATTAAAAAAGCCGAAATTAAAAATATGAAATTAATCTCAGTCTGCATTCAGGAGTTATAAATGGTCGTTTACTAACCCTCTCGGAACCATAAGCCCATAATTATTGCCAACAACTATTTATGGGTTTCGCAAGACGCGTTAATCGTCGTAAAATCTTAAGCTTAACATTGTTTTACGTAAAATAATGATTACAATGGATTTAGAGAATTTTTTACTACGCTGAAATATTTTTTAACGGATAAAAAATATATAATTAGCCCCACCTAAAACTAATTTAACCCTTATATTACATAAAAAAATCTTAAGCTTAACATTTCACGACGGTTACCACGTCTTGTGAATCCCCTTAATTGTAATTCAATGAGTTCTTACCAAATTAATTAATTCTGATGTCCGAATTATATACCGATTTTAAAAATAATTTTTTCATAAACGATTTTCATTCATTTATCTTCGCTTTATTCTAAGTTTTTTTTGTTAACAAAAATTAATTTATACCTACATTAAAAAGAAGTATTCCGATGGAAATAATTTGTATTATATTTTGTTTTTTTTTTGTAATGTTAATGTTTGTTCATAATTTGTTGAACATATTCTAAAAAAATCATTTTTATGACTTTGTTATTCTTAAATTTTCTTAACAAAAAAACTATTTACCCTTAAAAAACTTATTCCGCAAAAAATAATTTTCATTCTACAAAACTTTTTTCTAATGTTAATGTTTGTTCATATTTTGGTGATCATATTTAAAAAAAAAATCATTTTTATCACCTACTTATTCTTAAATTCTCTTAACAAAAATTTTATTTACCCTTAAATAAACTTATTCCGCAAAAAATTATTTTTATTTAACAAGTGTTTTTTCTGATGTTTAAGTGTGTCCTTATTTTGGTGAACATATTTTTTTCTAAGAAATATATTTTTTTTCAAAACCTTTTTTTTGCGTTTTTGGAAAATTTTGATTAAAATATTTTTTTTTCATCAATATTTCTACAAAAATGCGTTTTTATATTGCTTGGTAAATATTTCCTATATATTTTTTTCTTGAAAAATTGTTTCCCAAACTATTTATTTTCAAAACTATGTTTTCCGCTTATTGATAAAAATATTTTTTTTTTTAAATTTTATGATAAAAACAACCAGATCATAAACCGGGGAGTGAACCACTAAAAATTTACCCAATAGCGCTATGAGGGGATTAACTCTATGAAAAACATGTTTTCTTTGGTCCTAAAAAGGTTAAAGCCCATTACTAAAACGGAAGTTTTACAGCACAGAATACTCGGAATATTTTTATATGTCGAGGTTCTCAATATGTTTTGTTAAGTTTTAGTTACTAAAAAATTAGCAATGTGTTACTGAACGCTTTTAGTGTTAGCTACACTCTTGATAAAAGCAACTCAACATTTAATTCACTAAAATGTTTGGATTATGTGGCATCTCCAATAAAAAAAAATACATTTTGTCAAATAATTGGCAGCCTTATGTAGAAATATGGCCACCTAAAATTATTCTCAAATGCATTTCAGCGGTTACAGCGGCGGCGCTATTGCTCTTCAATAAATTCGCAAACATTTTTTCAAACAAATATTTGATGATTCTCATTCTCGTGTTTATAATTGACACTTTTACATCTGTATAGTCCATATTTATTGTATGCATATTTGATTAAGCTGCGAAACAAATAAATATCATGGCATATCAACAGCCGCCAGATGCATACATATGAATTCACATATACATTTGTATGTGTTTTTAAGTGCACACTGCCGCCGTTTTCTGTTTGCTGTTATTGACGCACCATGAATTTGCGCACGCTTTTTTTTTTAACTACATATTTTTACATTATTTTTTCCCTATGCCATTTGCTTCAATAAATTTTCTTTCCACTACAAAAACCAAATACCCACAACAACACACAATGGAGGTGTCAAGTATATTTGTGTGCAATGTGTATTGTTGTTATTGTTAATTTGACCATTGTTGGTTAGGTTATTGCATTTTTTATGCTCCCATTTCCAGCGGTCGCAAATACTCATAAATACACGTATTTATGTTTTATTTTTTTGAACTGTTGTGTGTAAAAAAAAAAATTGTTGATTGCTATATTCATTCATATTCATAGCGCTATTTCTATTTTATGCGCAGCTTTTTTTCATAATTCATATTTTAGAGCTCAATTTCATTTCATTCATGATTAAAAATACTGCAGCAATTTGTTTTTATTTATTTATATATTTAAGAATTGAAATTTGTATAAAAAGTTACTATTAATTTGAATGTGCATTTTGTGAAAAACGTGACACAATTTTTCCAGCTGCTCACTTCATGTTTCGCTTATCTTCTTCAAATATGAATGACATCATGAAAAATAAAATTAATTTAAATGGTTAATCGATACTCGGCTGACAAGCAAGCGGCATTGAGGGTATTATGAAATGAAGAGCTTTTAATTAAATTGTTGAAATTAATTGGTTAAGCTATATAGGCTGGTTTGCCACGAATTATGGTTCCCAACAAGGAGTGAACATCGCCAAAATAACGTAAGCCACATTTCTTTTCAAAATTCTCTTTTTGATGCAGAAATATTCCTAGAGCATCTGGATGCCTTTCTGCATCAAAAATAAAATTTTGAAAAAAAAATGCCGTGGAGTAGCCGCGAGAAAGACTCTTGATTAGATTTTTTTTCTTTGCTATGACTAACACAGCCCGTCCTCTCTAATAAAGCACGATTTAGCCAAAACGGAAATTTATTTTGCCTGCCAGTCAAAGACAGAGCAACTATGAACTTGTTAGAAATACAGTAATTTCACTAGCCACCATCGTTACAAAAATATTTGACGACATAAAGCGTTTTCGAAACATTATCTACGCGAAGTACTCGGAGAAAAATATGCTATGATTTATAGAGATCCTGATTAATTTTATTGAGTAAAATATATTTAAAAAAATATAGAGAAAATCTGTTTGGTTGCATCATTTAAAAATAAACACTTCTAAACTTTGTGAAATGCCTTCTTGAATTCTTTGAAAAGTACTTCTTCTCAATTGTATGTGATGTGATTGAATTAATTAACTTTATGAATGAAATTAATGAATTAATTTTAAATTCTATATGACGTGTAATTCATATTGTTGAATATGATCTCTGTGATCTCACAGACTTGCGTTTTTTTTTCATTTTATCTTTTTAGCTTTTAATTAGGTAACCTCATATATAAGTTGAGAGAAATCCTTCTTGATTTCATTGTACAGATAATCCAATTATCCAATTAGGATGAGATAATTTAAATTTTATTATTATAGTTGGAAATTTTATTTACATGGTTTTCGTGACGGTATAAAATAGATTTGTATAAAAAAATATCGAAAACAATTTGTTATGTAAGTCTATCGACCACAGCGTCATCTGTATTGAATCGGCAAGTAGACTGTGGGTATAAGCAATAAAATGTAACGATTTGTCTGAAATCTGTACACTTAGGGATCATTTTTTTATTAGGTTCGTAAAAGCGATATTTTTTCTTTGAGGAAGCTTGATTGAAAATGAACCATCCATTTCTGTTGAGAGACCAGATATACTACCATATATTTATATGAGCGTCCTACTATCTTTGGAGATTTTTCTCAACTTCATTCTTCTTTAGCAAGTGACGTAAGACAAAATACACGACCTAAATTTTCGGTTATGAAAATAGTATTTCTTCCTTACGTTAATTGAAATGAAGGTAATAAAAGCACAAACCCACATGAACATCTATCGCCTGTGTAAATTTAATTAAGTAATGCGTAATATTTTTGCACACTTCATACACATTATTTACGCAAAATCATGCCGGCGGTTATATTCAAAACATTATTACGATTTCCCTAAAAACATTGCACTGACTCGGAGCATGCTGCCAATTTTCCATTGTAAAATGTTTGAAAATTCAGTAGTAGTTTCGTAGCATTGCGCGTTGGTTATTTACTTTTCTGCAAATGCATTTTATTTATACAGTCAACAATCAGTGCATTATGACCGGTCGGATGTCGGTAGGTTGTGTGCAAAATGCATACAATTACATTTATGTATATGTGTACACATACATTTACACTATATATGTATGTACATATTTGCATGCAGATGCACCTGCTATCCATACACAACTACACATTACATTTACAAGGATGCTGGGGCGTCCTTCTACGTTGGCTTGCGAACTTTGGCTGTAGCTTTGCAAAATTGTTCGCAGGACTGTACTGTATTTAACTTGAACGCAAATTAAAATTGTTGTTGTCATTTTGTCATGTAAGTTCGCAACTGGTTGCTGGCATGTACTAAATATACAAGTGAATTTAGCACACGATGCTGCGTGCGGTAAACGCTATGCATTCACATTTGTATTTAAATTGACTATATTTGTGTATGCAATAAGCAGCGATTGACTGCTGTGGGCACCTAAAAGTATGCAACTACATTTGCGGTGTACGTAAATGTGTGAGATTGTACGGTTGTTTATTATTTCTCTGCTTTCTTATGCAGTAATTTGTTGAACACTGTGTTGCAAATGCGAAATGAGGGCACACGCGACGGTGTCAAGTGCGTATGTAAGTGTGTGCATAATAATTGTGGTATTTTTTAACCGACTTCCAAAAAAGGAGGAAGTTATCAGTTCGTCGGAATATTTGTTTTTTGTTTTTTTTTTTATGTATGTTACCGCATGACTTTGGACCACGTAAACCGATTTCGATAATTCTTTTTGCATCGGAAAGGTAGTGTATCAGAGGTGGTCCCACCTTAATCTGGTTTAGTTCCGATTGTTGGATCACGAAATATATATATATATATTTTTTTTAAGTCGTTTTTT